GAACGGGGCACAGATGGCGGACCTGCCAGTTCTGGTGTTCTCTGGTGAATACCAATGGAGCTGTACAGTGCTGGGCTGTGAGCACAGGTCCCATGGAGGACGTCGGGCCCTCATTCCACCCTCATGGAGTCTGTTTCTCACAGTTTGGTCAGAAGCATGCACACATTTTGAAGGGCTCTGGCAGTGCTCCTCCTGTTCCTCATGGCACAAAGGAGCAGATACCGGTCCTGCTGCAGAGTTGATGACCTTCTAAGGCCCTGTCCAGCCCTCCTTGTGTAACGGCTGGTCTCCTGGTGTCTCCTCCATGCTCTTGAGACACAGCAAACCTTATTGCGACTGCACGTATGGATGTGCCATGATGGAGGAGCTGGACTACCTGTGCAACCTGATTGGGCTGCAGGTACCGCCTCATGCTACCAGCAATGAAAAGGACACTAGCAGAACACCAAACTAGAGAAGAGTCAGTCAGGAAGGATAAGGAGAGAGCAACTGTCTGTGGCCACCACATGTAAAACCATTTCCTTTTTTGGGTGTTTTTTTGTGCAATGTCGTAATTTCCTCTACCATGTAACACAAGGACTAAATACATCACATCATCATGATCTACATTCTGTGATAGTCTATCAAACCCAGATCAGATACAGTATTCTCTTGAGAAAACAGTCACGGTCCATTTAGTTGGAATTCTGGAGCTTCAAATTATATGACATGATTTTCATCAGCGGATAGGGTTTGCCCAGTTGTCTTGAAATTGCAGATGTTCAACTTCTTTTTTTCTTTCTGACCACTTTAATGACCTCTCTTCCATATTGGCTAAAGCAGCGACCACAAGAGGTAATAACAGGATGACGGCACACAGAGTTTCCTTTGCTGAACATTGCCGAGTACGTCACTTTTAAGACATCATAGGTGACCTGTCCGAGCTAAAGTTTGCAAACATTAGCCACCATGAGCTACTGGTCATACCAGAACAAGTAACGTTGTAGCAACAAAACTCCTGGGTGTGTTGAACTGAGTAAGAAGAGTTTTAATAGAAAGCTGAAGTCCTGATGTCATGTCCGAGCAAGCCTCTGTTCCACAAGCTTCTGTTAGTCAGTGCAATCTCTCATTCAGTATTTCTTTCATAGGCCTTTCTGAAAAAAGAAGTCTGGTCCTGGGGTTTACTTTCCTCTAAGACAAACTGGCATTCACTACAGTAGTTGGTATTAGAAACTGAAACATTTGTGATTTTATCAGAGTGATAAGGGCTAGTGTAGTGGTTAGAGCACTTGTCTTCCATGTGGAACGTCCAGGGCTCGAATCCTGCTGGGGTCGACGTCAGCATACGGCCGCCTAATCAAACGGGATCAGATTAATTTGAGCCAAGCCCCCCATGAGAGCACATCTCAAGCCCGTCATAGATGGGAGATTCCAGACGTGTCCGAACTAACCACAGACTCTCGACTTGCTCTTCTGTCAAGTCATGACATTTAACTGGTGAGGGTCTTGGACTTGGGAAATGCTGTTTGTTAAAGGCCACTATAAACATAAAATATTAAATAAATAAACAATATTAGACTGCTTTTTAAAAGCTACTGTCCTCATCTCAACATATGAAGCAAGACACATGACACTGGGGCGGCTGTGACTCAGGAGGTAGATTTGGTTGTCCACCATCAGTGGAATATTCCCCGGCTCCTCCAGTGCACGTATGTTGAAGTGTCCTTGGGCAAGACTAGAAAGGTGCTATGTAAGTGCAGATCCATTTACCATTAACATACTGATCACAAAGTCAAATGTTCGAAAACCGTTCCAGATTCGTGGGCTTTGGAAAGAGGTTTCACTTCAGCTCTCTATGTTTATATCGTCCCTTAAAAGTTACGTATTTTCTCACTGAAAACGGAAGTTCAGGGTTCACTCTCGAACTTGAACACCACAGTTGAGAAAACAGTCTCACCACAAGGTGCATTTAGTAGCTGTTCTGCAGCTTTCCATCTTATCACAAGATCTTCGTCAGCAAGGTGTTCTCTGGACTGACCCTTTCTCTCGTTGACGTTTCTGTTCTAAGAAAGGCCTTCCACTTCAGATGACAACTGAGAGCGTGATGTATTACAGTGAGCATAACTGCTGACTGGACTTGACTCAGTCTGGGTCACTATGCCAGTCAGTCAAAGCTGGAACATAAAGCACGCCTCTGATCTTTGTCTGCTCTCTGAGCTTTGACATTTCCTTCCCAGACAGTCCTGTTGGTATCTGGGTGTCAGATTCCTCAGATGTGAAGCACTAGCCGTGGCTGCTGAACCACAGGACGACTTCTACAAAGCACCATTCACCCTGTCTGCAGAGGGCATTGCTGCACACTTACCTTGACCTTATTCATCATCTGCATGTCTCTGTTATATACAGTTTAAACAGGTGGCAAGATACAGTAGTCAGCCAAGAAGATAAATGATGAAAATATACTGTGTGTAACTCAAAGTGGGCACAGGTTCAGCTCGGCTATGAATCTTACACTTTACTGACTGACTCTGGTCGGTGCTGCACCGCTCCATCCCCACTGATGACAAGACCAAAGATGGATTATAGACTGAGCGGAGCGGACACCTGCTCCAGAGCCCCATTTGAAAGAGTAAAGCTGTCAATATGCTTCAAACAGAGTGGCTGTCTGCACAGTGCGATCGCTGAAACAGTGGGCAGGATTTAAATTTCTCTCTCAAACTTTTTCGTTTGATGAAGTGCAACACCAGTAATGCTTTCCAGGAAACATTGTCTGAAAGTGCGCATCGTTAACCCCTAGGCACGTCACCAGAAATTTAGTGGTCAATACCAATGCCAGTGAAATTCCATGATTCTCGACACCTAGTTTGACACTACGGTAGGAAACAAAAACAAAACAATAAATCCCATGTAGTTAAACTTTCAAGTCTCTGTTAAAAACATCTAAAATATATTTAGTTGGCACTTCCATTACAAGGCATGAACAACATACACAGGCCTCAAGAAAAAACTTTTCACTATTTAAGGCTCAGACATACTTTCCACATTGTACATCTGCGGAGAGCTACGGTTGCGTGCATGCCGTTTGAGTCATAGTTCAAGTGATGGTCCTCTTCAGCCCCCAACAGTAAACAGGAGGGCTGGGAGGTGAGCTTACAGTGGGTGAAAGTGAAACTAAGAGGATGCTGCTGGATCAGGAGTGAATGTCTGTCAATTATTCAACTTAAAACTAACTTCATGGTGGGGATGCGGCTGCAGCCGGCCTGACAGCAGTGTTTTGGACTGGAGTGTGGCGCAAGAGATTGGAGCACGGGCAGTTGGTGCACTTGCTATGTCTACAGTCTGTGCGGGCCTAATAAATGGGCTGCTTGCAGAAGTCCGCACAGAGGTCCGTATGGACCCTCGCAGACATGGGTGGATGACGACATTTACATCACGCGAACCCTCACATGGACGCAGAAACTACGAATTGGCCCTTACAAGTCGAGATGGAGGTGTCACATCTTCCACATGTTTTTTTTTTTTTTCTGTGCTGGTTTTGTTCTTCTTCTTCCTTCGGCATTAATCAGCAGACTAGAACACTTGCAGACGTCCAGAAGAATTGCATTCTTCTGAGTACCGTCATATTTTCAGAATTTTGGCATTAATTTGGTACCAAAGTATTGGTTCTCATGACATGCCAATAACCCCCATATGAACAATAAGCATGTCTTGCCTCTGTCTTTGCAACCCAATCACTGGAATAAATGTTATTGCTGTTATTGTATGTTTCAACAATGCTGTGATTGAGTTTTGGTTATGTTAAGTACAGAGACCACTTGGTTAGGGTTAGGTTAGGATCATATTTGGATTAAAATACCTGGTTTTGTTGCAACAGACATGGCTGGACATGTTCCAAGCTCTCATTAAAAAATACCCGCTTTTGTTGCTACCAATTTGTTTAGTTGTTTTCACATTTGCAAAAAAATACAAATTACTAAACAGGAATGTGATTGAGAGGTGCGATCAACCCTCAGAGGGGCTTCATCAAGATTCTTTCCAAGATAGACTTTAATCCATTAGTTAATAAAGAAAATTATTCCAAGGATGGGGAAGGGAGAATAATAATTCATAAGTAGAACATTAGGGGAAAGCAGCTGGTAATGTGCTTCCTTCAACTTTGGTCATTTTGAACATTTCTAAACTTTTACATGGATGATTCACAGTGAAAAACAGTGGGTGGGGGAGGGGTGGAGGTGTGGTCAAAGGGGCCCATTGCTCAGTTTTACCCAGAGCCCCCATACACATTAATCCAGCCATGGAAAGGACAACAATTGCATGTTTCATTGCTCTTTAACAGCATTCATAAACCTATTGAGCTTGTCACTCAGTAGTCAAATCTAGTGACTACCAACAGTTTAAAAGATAATCAATGTAGTGTTTGTTTAAAAAAAAAATCTATTTTTATTGTATATTTGTAACTTTTTTTCTTTTTGCAGCTCTTTCTGGATGAGCTGCAGTTAATGACTTCTAAATTGTGACATATTGCACTGAGTTAATGGGTCTCACATCAAATGCTTGTGTCAGTCACACCCTGCAGATTGAAGTTGTAAAGTGACAGACTGAGCAGCTCCTGCTGTGGTCTGTCACACTGCAGGGACTTGCTCCTCTGCAGGATGTTGTAAACTGCTTGTGATACAAAGTTCTTTACGGTGATTGAAGAAGACCAATGTTCCATTTAACTGATGTAGAGGAGGTGTTAGTGTCAGCTCCCTCTCCCTCATCCGTCAGTATAGGTGACTGTGCTGCAATATCAGTACCTGCAGCAGCATCAGCAGCACTGTATTGCTGCTGCGCTGACTCCAAATGACGCTCAATGCATTTGTCGTTTCCCTGCAGGAAAAAAACCCACATAGGTCATCTCTCTTTACTTCATAGCCTATAACATCGGTTATTTTCGATGTCATCCCTCCCAATCCCCCTTGACAGGCATGCGCCATCTCCATCCCGATTGTTGAGTGAAAAAGTGGGCAGTTCAGGATTTCATATCTGGCTTCACTTTCACTCAACTCCCTCCTTTTTCTCTCGGAGTCGGTCGGACAGCAGCTCCAACTCCTCTCATACCTGCGCAGAGCATCCAGAGCCGCTTTCCTCCCAACAGGACAGTCGCACTGCAGCAAGCTGAGCGGAGCTGACGGAAAATACTTTTTACAGCCGACAAGTCAATCCATCCTGCATCATCTGAAATGCCGCTGAGAAGAAGCCGGTAGGTTTCTCTTTGAGCTGCTGCGTTAATGATGCGCAGTTGATGCGGTCTGAGTTTTTTTTAAATGTATAATGTCATTTTAAATTAAGGTGTAATTTAAGAAAATGACCCTCTTCAGCAGTTAACTGCATCACAGTAGTTGCTGTCCTCAGAGGAGGTCCTGAAATTGTGGCCGGTAGATCATTTTCTCCTCTAAAAATGTCCCAGTGAGGAACTGACGCACTTAGTATAAGTATATAAGTATATAAGTACAAGTATAACTTTGTTCTAATTGGCTTTGCGCTTTTTTACTTTTTGGTTTTCTTGCACATCACGAACCCCCACTTTGTTTTAGAAGAGCATGTTGATGTGTTTAAAGGCCATGTTGATGTGTTTAAAGGCCTTTGCATCTTCTACCTTCTCTTTGTCACTCCTCATGATTGTTTAAGAATTGTGAGGTGGTGTGATGATTTTTTTTACACAGGTGAGAATGAAAATGTGAATGAAACTGAATGAAAACTGTGTCAGCATTGACTTACTGTCCTCTGCGAAACCCTTATGTGATCCAGCCACTGCAAAACTGCTTTATTTTTTTTAAATTAAAATGCTGTTTATTTGTGGGAGTAAAGCATAGATGCTACTGAATTTGAGCTCTGAGAGATTGTTGCTGTGCCCTGCAGGAGACACAAGGAGCCAGCTTTTTGTCTTGAGTGCACATTTAGCCTCCTCTGTTCATCTTCTTCACCTCAGGGTTCAGGTAGACTTCATTAATGGACAGGTAGAGATGTCGTAAGAGAGAGCTAGCAGACTTTCAAGGATTCCTCTCTTAATTTGATGGTCCAGTGGCTCTGTGGTCTTATATTAGCCAGTAGGGCAAGTCAAACTAAAAGCACTGAAATGGTTGTCTTGTCATTTCTGACTAAAATGTCGCCCTCCATCACCTTATCTTTAAAGTAAAACAAACAATGTAAGCGTTTGTCCTTGTTTTCAAAAGATCCTGACTCTGACTGTTGATAAAAGTGTGATTTTTTTATGTGATCTCAGAACTTAAAAATTTTACTTTCAGCCTACTTGCCAGTTTTAAGACTTGAGGCCAATCAGAACAATTGTGGCTTTTTTTCTTATCATACTAAATATACTCTTTGGGTACAAATGAGTTGAAATTGAATTTCTGAAGAGAAAATTCCACACTATTATATAAGTGCTCTGTAATTCATTAGATGCTCTCTTAATTGGCTGTGAAGGTGTGGCACATGTTGCAAACCAGCAAGGGTGAGGAAACCTACAGCTGCAGTGTGGATGAAGCTGTAACAGTTTTTGTGGAATAATTAAACTTCTGTCCTAGTTTCAGGCTCTGAATTGCTCACCACATCTTTAATTTCATTCAGTGACTCAGTTTTTCACAATAAATGATGAAGAGAAAATGAAGTGGCCGTTTAGCCTGGTTTTCAGGGTAGTAAATGTGAGGCAGGGCAGCACAGTGAAATTGCTGTTGCTCGGGTTATTTGCAGAATAATAGTGCAATTTAGTTCACATAATTATCTTGGCTCAGCGTGAGCCTGGAGGGGATCATGCATTTGGTCGTGTGTGTACATGTGTGAGTGTGTAACTGTTTGTCTGCAGCTAACCTTGCAAACTACTGGACCAATCAGCCTCATATTTAGTGTTCACATGTATGGCTGTATGCTCAATGATCTTTCATGGTTGCCATGATTTATAGTTTAAGTTTTCTGGAAATGGTCTTAGCTAAAAACAACAAGCCTTACCGCCTGTTACAGACATCCATAGAAAAGCTTGGGTCGTTTTGAATTGGAGCATTTGCAGATTAATTCCATACCTGATACGTTATGATCCACCACAGTTAGGCACAATACGAGATAAATTAGTCCTTGCTTTTGTTATCTTTGTTGCCATCTTGTTGGGAGCTGGGATGGACAATACATCCGAGCGCAGCTGCAACTCGGTTTCCATCCATTGTACAGCATCATCATACCACACCAGGAATGTTTCAGAGGCAGGGGCATGTTGCCTGCCTGATTTTTTAGACTTGCAGATTTTGTTGATTTGATCATACTTCCTTGATATTTGTACTTCTACCATATTGTCTATTTTAATTGTCTTTATAGTTGTTATTTCCTGATTTGTTGTGCTGTAGCCAACAGACAAAGTTAATACCATGAGAAGTCCTGTTATGAATGACATGGGTCAAATATTTATCGCTATGTTTTAATCGTTAGAAATACCTTCATCCTCATAATTATATTTATCTATATTCCACATACAGCGCCTATTAGCAGGAAACCTTGATCTACTCCGAGCAACGCGGCGTGGCTCCATCAAAAATAGACAAGATCTGTATTTTTATTAGCTTCTGGGACGCACTGCAGCTCGTCTGCTGAAATTACAAGAGTTGTCTAGAGTGGCTGCGATCAGCTCGGGCGGCCACCTGGCGGAGAGCTGCACTCTACTAAGTGCACTTTTCTTGTTGAAGAAGTGGTCACTTTGAGTTATGCAAACAGCAAATCCTTTAGCAAATTTACTTTTTAGTTACACAAAGGCATGCTATAGCTTGTTAAGTAGCCTCAGCTGGGGTTTAGCCAGATTCACAATGTATGTGTCCACAAACTGCAGACTAAGAACCAAACCATAGGCTATCATTGTCTTTCTTAAGATCAGGCTAGTATCAGTAGTAAGTATCATAACATTATGGCATGTTCTGGCCATTCTGTTCTGGTTTGACTCCATGTGCATGAATTGGCATCCAAGCATCCAATTCATGACTCCATGAATGCTTCAGAAGGACACGCCTTCTTCTTCATTTTTCTTCAGTCCCTTACTTTCTGCTGTCCAACTTGTTACTAGTCTGTAGTTGAAGCTGAAGTTAAAAGTTTATACAAATACGTTTTGTGTTGTGTCCCCCATACATGTTTATTCTGTTTTATTTATAGATCCGTATTGAACATGTTGTAAACTGTGGGGTTTAAAATTCCACAATATAAACTGGAGTCAGGCAATTTTATTTCCTCATAAATAATTAGTTAATTATCTTAAAATAAATGATATAGTCAACAATGTAAAGTTGTGTCACAGTATATGTCTGATTGTTTGTGGTTAAAGCTGAGGAATGGATCCACTAGTACCATGAAGTAATGAATAATGTATTTAATGCAGAGTCAGCAGCCAGTTTTGCATCTGTTGGGAAGCAGAAGCAGATTTAGGATTGCTAAATGTTGGTGTGGGATTAGTTGACCTCAAATTAAGGAGTTCCTGATAGGAAGATGCAGTTTAGTTTTTCATTCGCTGCCCCCACTCTAATCAGTCTCTGGTTTTTCATAGTTTGTAATGGGCTTGCCACACACAGGCTGTGGTCAGTCCGCAGAGCTGCTGAGTCAGGTCTGAGATCAGGTGTTTGTTTGATCTTTCGACTTTTTCCAGGCACATTGGGTGGTGAATCATGTGGTGGGTGGCTTTTTTCAAATTGGTCATCTTGCTGGGAGCCAGACAGTGGGTTTACTGGAGATGTCTGTAGGTTTGGAAGGTGGGATGAGTCCTTTGAGTGAGTGCAGCTCCTCGGATGTGTGGAGGTGTTCACGTTTGATGGTGCAGGGAGTTGGAGGAGTGGTGTTGAATGAATAGTCCCTGTTAGGTCAGGCCAATGTATTCTCACTCCCAAGTCAAACTATGACACTATAGTCACCCCCATGTCAATTTTAGATGCCCAAGGACAGTGTGTCACTTTCCACTCATTACATGCAATGTCTCTTTAAAATAAACTGGTTTCTTACAGGTGACGTGCAGTTTCCGCTTGTTAAATGCATACTGTCTCTTTTCAAAAATAAACTTAAACATAGGTTTACTTTATTTTTAGATTTAGGCAATAAAAGTACTTGTTAGGTTTAAAAAAAAAAAAGATCAGGGTTTGGCTTTAAATAAGTATGTTCATTAGTAATGAAATGTAATGTGACTTAAGCAAGTTAAAATAACTCAACATGGACTTTTGTTCTCATATGGGACACTAACAGCAGTCTCCTAGGTGAAAGTCCTGTCTTTGTTTGACCCATTCACCATCCATTCTGTCCAGTCTTTGCAGACTTTCTCCCTCTTTATAACATGTCAGTTGCTCAGAACGTCTAATAATGACATGGCGCGGTGCATCTCATACAGCTGCTAAAGGGTGCCTTGGTATGACGTACCAAATGCCAAGGGCCACGTAAGCTAAGGTCACACTACATAACTGTCAAAGATCGCCATACTATTCAAACTACACATATTGCTGTCTTGTAAACAATGTGTATGGCACAAGTTGCATGGCTCAAACTGAGGGGGAGAGATTTTACTATTATATATCAATGTCAAAAACGTGACAAAGTAGCAGTCCGAGTAAGTTATTACGCTAATTACTTACTGACACGTTGGGAACAATAGTCCACCTTCTACCATCTGTCTCTCTGTTGCTTTCACTCTCTTCCTCTTAAACACAAATAAACACCTTGGAAAGTGCAGCGGCACCGTTTGTCTCCATCATCAGTCAATGTTGTGCATTCTCATCGGATGTAGCTTGCCAACAAAGTACCCCATAGAGATAGTATTTTTTTTTAGCATTTTACTCTGCTAGATAGCTGGGGAGCATCTGCGATACATCGGTGAGCCCCTCAGCTTGCATCTTTGAACAGTTCACACATACACCTTGATTTGTGAGCGCCGAGCCAACATGATTGGGTAACCACAGTCTTGAGTTAATGAATCTGAAATCTAACAAGAAATTGGAGATGTGTGGAGGAAAAAAGCAGCAACAGAAACTGGCAGACAGAAACTTATACCAGAGTGGATTTCTATCTCTTTAAAACCACAATTACTGTTCATTTTAGGAGATCCCTACTGTACTTTATCATAGACTCATCCCTGCCAAAGCCAATACCAGCTCAGCGCAGCACAGAGCTCACATCAGTCAGCCTCGTGTCTCTGTCTGTTTGACCTGCTAAACTGAGATCAGGAGTTATTTTCCTGCTTGTTGGTGTTGAGAGGAGGTTTGCCTGAGTTAACCTTGATGCAGAGTACTGCAGAGGCCACCCACAGGATGTAATGAGGCAGCTTTAGTTGTCAGTGCAGCACTGACAGGGATCTCAACATCTGATTTCATGTTTTTTGTTCGCGGTGATTTATTGCATTTAAATTTAAGATGACAACGTTAAAGATGTGCTGTGGGCTTCATGTGGTTTTGACTGATGTCAGTCTTCTTTTGCTTACTTGTATGTTTCTGCAGGAGGAGGAGACTGGATTAGTTCTGCTTGTGAATAATGCAGTGGCTGCAGTTTCTAGACCTGTAAATGCAGTGGGTGGCATTGATTTTAGCTTGACTTGTCTTCATTGTTACCCTCATTTAAAAGAGCAGAGCTGCAGAGTGCCTGGTGACGGGCGAGGCCAAAGACTTTGTGATCTGAAAAAGTCACAAAATAATCAGCAGCGACCAGCATTTTCTCCTCTGCCATCAATCTGAATGCACCAACTCATACACAAGCACACTCTCACAGCATCAGTGATACCATTTGAAACAGTGTGCAGTGTCTTAATGTGGCCTTTTGTACAAAGCCTGCTCCAGAACGGTTCTTAGTGGTTTAAAACTTCCTTTTCCATCCTTGAAAAGAAGCGAGAGAAAGGAGAGAGAAAAAGCAAGCGAGTGTGCCAGTGCCCTGTCCTTTAATTTTCCTCCCGGGCCCTTTATGAGGGAGTCGGCCCGAAGTGAAAGCACAGTGTGCAGCTGTCCTCCTGGCCCACTGCTCGCTTTTTGTGAGACGTTTTCTCGTTAAGAATACTAATAGTGATACCAGCCCTGTGGAGTCTGCCCAGCTGGCTGAGGAAACAGACAACAATTATTCTGCCATCAAAGAGGACCATTTAATCTGACACAAGTTAGCGAGCTGTGTTTTTGCCGATGTGTTGGATATACAGATGCAGGAAAGTTTATCAGTGCTTGTTCAGCGTTTGGCTCGCTTCTATGGGTCTGACCTTGGTAATATAAAGCCTATTAATTTGTCTTTATTTACTAGAGTCTTTTTCACCTTGATCACATGTGTGCTATGTGTATGTTTAGATGGCTGAGTGAATGACTTAGTGAATGAGGCTGGCACACTCACACGCATGCACGCATGCACGCTGGCTGGCGCACGCACGCACGCACGCACGCACGCACGCACGCACGCACGCACGCACACAGTACCTCTTCTGTGCGTCATTCTTTTCAACATTTGCTCATCAAGAGAGTGATTTAGGAGCTTTTATTTTATGAGTTTTGTTGTGTCGGTGGCATCAGCAACAGTCAAACAATCTGGGACTTCTTTACAAAGAGTTTCTCAGTCCTAAAAATTGCTCACTTACTTTTTACTGATACTACTACCACAGGGAAATATTGTTCTTTTTACTCCATTACATACATTTCACAGCTATAGTTACAGGTTGCTTTTCAAATTAAGATTTTACATGACAAATAAATGACTGGTTTATAAAATAAAAAGTTATAATTAGCTCCATATCAACCAGCCACAACACTGAAGTGCTTCTAAAGTAGAAATAGACACATTTTTTTGCTTTAAATTAATATATATATATATAGCTTTAACATGATATTACATATATATATATATATATATATATATATATATATGTATATGTACACAGTAAATGTTGGTTGCACAATGTTGTCTCTGCGACAGTTAAACCACTTGGAAATGTAACCAAGTCGCTAGAAAAAAGGTTTGCATTGTATGTTTCTGCAAACCACAGATACGTTACATTTATTTTCTAACAGATATGTTGATGATGCTGGTGAAAGTTTGGTTATGTTTAGGCACAAAAACACTTGGTTATGGTTAGGAAAAGATCATGTTTTGGCTTAAAACACCCACGTTTAGTAGCACAAAAGCCGCTGGAAAAGCAGGGACAGGGTCAGAGAAAAATACCCAGTTTCGATGGCTCAGACCTTGCAGGGAAATGCTGCCATGTACCTCTAACAACACCCAGGTTTACAGGCACAACATGGGGGAAAACACTGTGAAGGGGACCCAGAAACCTCCGGTGTTGTTCTGCAGCTTGGCAGCCATCTTGCTGAGGTGACATGCCATCCACCTTCCAATGACAAAGTCAGCTTATATATTATGTCACTTTAGAATAGTTGATATGATACATATAAAATGTGTAAATTAAACATATCCGTCGTTTGCAGAAACGTACAAATGCAGACATTTTCTTCTGGCGACTGGGCTGTGGAAACACAAGGGAGGAAAAGTTGAAAAGTTGTCTGTTTCTTCTTTAATGCTTAAATAAAAATGATCCAATAATATAATAATATAACTCTGACAGGGGGCAATTATTTTTCTTTTCAAAGAATATTTTTTTCTGGCTTTTTGCCTTTAATGGATAGGATAGCCAAGTGAGTGAAGGGGGAGAGAGAGAGGGAGTGACATGCAGCAAAGGGCCTCAAGCCGGAATTGAATTTAATTAGAGTTTCAGTGCAGGACTTTTACTTGTAATAGAATATCATTATAATGTGGTATTCCTCCTTTTATAAAATTTTCTAAATACTTCTTCCAACACTGCCTATGGAGCTGCATTTTTACCCTATTATCAATTAATATGCTGATTTAAATGTCATACAATACTGAAAACTACCCCTCACAATCTCCTAAAAACCCAGGTTTAAGTCTTCATAAGGCTTGTTTTGTCCTTAAAATGGTCCAAAATGCAAAGATATTCAGTTTACAGTCATAAACAACCAAGAGGACCTGCAAATGTTCACATCTGAAAAGTTGGAACCTGTAAATATTTTGGCTTTTTTGCTTAAAAAACAACTTCAGAATTAATTAACCATGAGTATTGCTGCCAGTAGTTTTCTATCTACTAATTCATTAATGTAAATGTAAAGTAAAAGTAAATTGCAGCTGGAGCACTGCTTTTAATGATGAACGAACACTTACAGCTTCACCGTGGCTGCCTCAGGAGGTTGTGTGAGGTCACTGAGAGCGTCTTGCCATGCCTGGGTTAATGACAGGGCCAGACTGGTGACGGAGAGCTGGCAGGATGCCCCTGAGCTGGGAAGCTGTGTCATTAGCTCCCGGAGGTGATGAATAGCTTGTGGTCAGGAGCCTATGCTCTCAGCTTCCCTTTGAAAACCAGAGAAGTTGCTCTTTTATAACTTTGAGATACACTTTTCAGTATATAATGTGAATTATGTGTCAGTGTTTTACACAAATTATTATGATTTTCTCCAAATGTACAAGATTTACACTCAGCTGTCAGTTTAATAGGTGTGCCAAGCAAAAACTGATGCAGTCAAATACAACAGTCCTGCAGTAAATCCTTTTTTTGTGAGGGTTATATTGTTCAGTTTTTGTTGAAGATGTTTCACAGAGGTGGTGATTCAAGTTTAGTTGTTCATTTTGGAGGCTTTAGTCTTTGATGCCCTTGTGTTTTATTGCATTATGCTGAGAGGTGTTTTTGATATTTTTATTCTATTTGAAGGTGACTATTTAGCATGAGGGACAAACAGATGAAAATGAGACTTCTGGACTAATTTTGGCTCATTAAAAGTTACTTTTCTGTTGATCAATGAGAATTGTTCCTGTCAAATATAGTAATAAAATAGACAAAACACCCATTTATATTAGTAAGAGCAGACTAAATATAAACACCTCTTCACCCAGTATGTAGATTAGATGTGGAGATGATGTTCTCTTGTAGGCCAACATGGAAGTTTCCCATCATCAGCATCGCCTTGGTCCCTTCGACAAAAAGCCAGTGGGATTTTTCCATTGGATTTGAATCATGGTAGAAAATAAGCTCTGTGCCAAACAAGAGTTTATGATATTTTGTTCAGCAAGATAATCTTCATAAATGAACACCACTTTTATGATTTCTGAAGCGTAAATGTAATCACCAGAAGAAAAAGCTGACATAAGGCTATAAATGAGCTACCCCACGGTCGCCTGACTTGAAATCACCACATAACAAGAATGTTAAACCTTTGTGCAATGACGCTCTGTAGTCTAATTTAACCATTTGTTTTCAACCTTATTTTTAAAGAGAAAATCTCTTAAACTTGTCTTTACCAGAAACTTATTCAAGAGACCCCACTAACTTTGAGATGAGGGAACTGGAAATGCAGAAATGATAACTTATTCCTGCATTTTAGGACTCAGTCCTGCACCACTCTATTGGACCAGTTGTCGCAAATATTATTTTTTTTTGCAGACATTCATGTTGCCCTCAGTGCTATACCAAGATGGTAACATTTCCATTGACTTCAAAGCATCACTGTGCCTAAGTACAGCTGTAGACTCTTAGTCTTGCTTTAATATCTATCCAAGGGCAGCTTTTATGGTGCACTTGTTTGCTTTCTTTTATAAGTTACATCATTCCTAAGATAACCTTAAGGTCTAAATCCCTCCATTTTTATACGTGCTTTATGTTTCATGGCCCACACAAGGCTTTTGTTTGTTTCTTTTTTTTCTTGCAGCATGTAACTAGTATTTCTATTTTTACATTAATCTCTTGCAAATAATAAATGGCTAAAATTAAAGCATTATAGTGGAACCTTGAGTCTGTTTCTTCACTCAGCTGCATATAATTATATGTGAAAAGCTAAAGCCACAGAGGGTGGATGTTGCAGCGAAGGTTGCACAGAGGTGTGCTGGTTCTGACCTTTAATATTACAATAAATCAGTTTGGTGGGATCAGTGGAGCTGAATCAACACATTACATGACTCCCAGGATCTGAAATCACTCTGCCTATTAAAGGTTAAACATGTGTGAAATTGGAAACTGCTAAGGAGAAATAATCTGTGTCATTTTTGTGTCCTTTCTTTCCCTGAGATTACGACAGGAATGCTTTATTAATTTTTATGCGTGTCACATTTGATCTAATCTTAATTTGTACTGTTTCCTCTCTATCTCCACAGACATGTCCAAATACTTCCACTTCTCATGGCAGTCTGCCGCCTCACTCTGGCCTTCCCCACGCAAACTCCGTCTGCACTCGGTACGTCTGCATTGTAAAATTACCTCTGACATTCAGCATTCATTCACATTCAGTTATAATCAAAGGCAAAGTAAAGTCATGATTCACTATTCTCAGCAAATTCACAGAGCTGCTCTGTTCGTCATGCTCTGTATCCTTTATTCTTTTCTCCTGCAGATGATGTCCGGCAGCTCCAGGTGAACATCCCTTACTCAGGTCCGGTTTCGGCCCCACTGGGCAGCTCCATCTCCATCCCCTGTTTGGTGTCTCTGTCCTCCTCCTCCTCTGTTGTACCACGGGTCAAGTGGACGGTGGTGTCCGGTGGAGTGGAGACACAGATCTTGGTGGCACGGGGTCAAAGAATAAAGGTCAATGAGGCGTACCGAGACCGTGCCGCCTGGCTCAACTATACCTCCTCCCCTGAAGATCTGTCACTGTGGTTGGGAGATTTACGTTCAAGTGACTCTGGTCACTATCGCTGCGAGGTGCAGCAGGGCCTGGAGGACGCCAGCGACCTTGTGCAACTCAAGGTCAAAGGTAACAAAATGAAAGATGTGGATCATCACTGATGTTTTGGAAAGATTTCGATGTAGAGGATACAACATGTAGTACACTAAAAAAAAAAGATATGATTGCATTTTTTGATTGTAATCTTCCTGTTTTAAAACATCTGATTCATTTTGTGATATTGTTATGAATTGACATTCATAAAACACTTTTTGGTGACACGCAGTGTGTTTTTGTGCAATCTAAAACAAATGGTGTGCTTATGTGTGTGTTTAGGTGTTGTATTCCACTATAGAGATGCTCTGGGGCGCTATGCATTTTCCTTCCATCAGGCCCAGAGGGCTTGTGAGGCCATCGGGGCTCAAATCGCGACTCCTGACCAACTGCTGGCGGCTTATTATGACGGCTATGAGCAGTGTGATGCAGGCTGGCTGGCAGACCAGTCTGTCAGGTATCTCATCACCTCACAATCTAATGTTCCAACGTTAAATTAAAGCGGTGCTCACACTCAATAACACACTCCAACATACTGAATGCTTCAATGGCTGCAACTCTTCCTTTAATGAAAACATTACAGCTATATTTCTAAAGCTTTTAGTCACATTTTCCCAAAATTTTGACTTTGGGAAATACATGATTTCTATAAGGAGAAAAGTACAAATGTTTCCGCTGACCTGTAGTGCTGTTTATCAATCTAGATTGTTTTGGTGTGAGTTGCCAAGTGTTGGAGATATCGGCTGTAGAGATGTCTGCCTTCTCTCCAGTATAATGGAACTAGATGGCACTCAGCTTGTGGTGCTCAAAGCACAAAAAAAGTACATTTGACAAACTCATCATTAATGTCTCTTTCCAGAAACCATGACTTGGTTACTCATGATAATCCACAGACCTTGTTGTGAGCAGTTTCATGTAGGAACTATTTTCTTTCTACCAAACCACACCCCCCAATCGTATCACACTGCATGAGTAGAGCTTCCTTCTGCACAGTGCTACGGTATGAGGGTGTAGTTTGGTAAATGTACTGTTCCTTTTCAAAATTCCTCACTATTCCTCACAAAGTAATGCACCAGAGTCCGTATATAACCCATATAAATGGGAAGGCTTCCATCACGTGACCAATGCCCTGATGGGAGTAAAGAAGAAAGTAGTACAAAGAGCAAAAGCCCGCATAAGGACGGGACTTTCCCCCCAGGAGCCATGTGTTCATGTGCCATGTAAAAACAAGTGACCTTGGAGTTATTTTAAGGTATGTCATCACCATGTTTCTTTTCCTAAACCTAGCCTATGTAACATTACTTGCCTAAACCTAACCTATGTAATTTTATGTTAAGTAAGTAACGTCACAATGCCATTCGTGAGGGGCTGATACAAACCATTCAATGAGCATTTTTGTAAGATATCATAAGAACTGTTGTATGAGGACACATTGGCTCACAACAAGGTCTGTGGGTTATCTTGAGTAACTGGGTCATGATTTCTGGAAGGAGACAATACTGTTGAGTTGTATGTTTTTGCACTTTGAGCACCACAAGCTGAGCGCCATCTAGTTCCATTATATTCAAGAGAAGGCAGACATCTCTACAGCTGATAACTCCCACACTTGGAAACTCACACTATAACAATCTTTTTTGATAAATAGTACTACAGGTAAGAGGAAAATATGTTTTTTTTTTTTGTTTTTTTTTTGGGTGAACTGTCCCTTTAACGTGAGAAATTATTGTTTCCATTCTTGCAGGTACCCAATCCAGGTGCCCCGTGAAGGTTGTTATGGAGACATGGATGGCCAACCAGGCGTGAGAAACTATGGGACAATGGACGCAGATGATCTATTTGATGTTTACTGTTACGTGGAGGAAATTTATGGTATGAATAATAATACGTCTTTCTGTAACTAAAGCCTGAACCCATATTAAATTTTTAGGCCAGTTCTAATATCAATATTTGAGGCCATGATATGACAAAATACAGCATATATAAAGTGTGTGTTTATCAGGACATTTTACAGTTGAAAAATTAACTCTGTGCCCTCTGGTGAACAATCTACATATAGTATTAGTATTTCTAAATTACCCTGAACACATTCTTGGCGTTCCTGTACTGCAATGTCTTGTTTCTTGTTAGCCAACATATACAGTATACCATTTTTACAGATATATCTGTGATAGGCTAAAATCAGTCAGTTATGCCATTGTATCACTGGGACTGTATCGACATATAATTATGAGACTACATATTTAAGACATGGTAAAAAGAAATAATAAAAAATTTAAAATATTTTGTGTTTCCAGGGGAGGTATTTCATGACTCCATCCCACAGCAGTTGTCATTTGATGAAGCGCAGTCTTACTGCAGAGCAGCAGGGGCAGAGCTGGCTACAACAACACAGCTTTACTTGGCATGGAGTGAAGGTCTGGACCGTTGCAGCCCTGGCTGGCTGTCTGATGGCAGTGTGCGCTATCCCATTATAGCCCCTAGAGAGCGCTGCGGAGGGCCTCAGCCAGGCGTCAAAACACTCTATCGCTTCAGCAACCAAACTGGCTTCCCAGAGCCATCCAGCCTTCATGACGTGTATTGTTTCAAAGGTGAGAAATTTGTGTCTCGGAGAGTTTATGTAAACATTACTTTTACAATCTGTGCGCATGCAATTAAACAGCAAGGCACTGGAAAAGTAATTGAACCAAAGGCAGCAAAAGAAAGTTGTTTTTCATATTTATTGAATCTAATTTTTAATAACTTATCTGTCCTCTACAGATAATAGAAATACTCCCACTGACTCTCCCATGGACTACATGGCCACAGAGCCTGAAAACATTGGACAAGATGTTGTTATTCTTATGGAAACAGATCAAGAGCTGCAACTGAACCAACATGCAGAACAGGTGGAGCTCAAAGCTCAAAGGTTGCTGGAATCGTTTCCCCTTGTCTCAAGCTCTTCTACTGAGGAAAACCTGGCTGGCATGCACTCAACAGTGGTATCAGGCACAACAGAGTCTCCTTTCAACACCACAGCTACATTGAATCTCCTCCAAGCATTCAATGAAACTTCATCTCCTACAGAAATCAGCTCCCAGCAACCTACAGCACCGATGAACAACACTATCAGCACCACAGAAACCTATGATTCCACACAAAGCACATCATTACTGCCCAGTGTTTACAATGAGACAGATTCCCACCCCAACCTAAACTTCACCTTTCACCAGTCTGAGCCTCAAAGCACCACGGAGTTTCCCAAAACATCATATGCACCTCATACACACAACCAGACAGTTCCAGACACACATCCTGAAGAGAGCACATCTGAGACACCAAAGGATTCCCAAGAAATACAAGAGACAAACTTGAATTTTGACAGATCTCTGGCCAATTACAGTGAGACAGACAGTAATCATACTGAAGAGGAGAGGTTCTGGGAGGTGACCCCTATGACCCTTGATCCCGTGGTTCAGGTGAAGCTGGAGGAGGACGCAGCAGAAGGTCCTGTGCAGGTGCTTCTCTCAACTCAGGCCTCAACAGAAGAAGTTCTTACACAGCCAGCTCAAACTACAAAATCTTCCATTATGGAACTGACCTCAATGTGGGCCCCTCTGGATGGGTCTGGAGATATTTCTCCAGGTATGTCCAGCTTAGATTAAGTCTTACATTAAAATCTTTAAGGAATCATTCAATATTTTTGGAAATAAGATAATTCGCGTTCTTCTTGCTGAGAGTAAGATGAGAAGATTGAATCCACTCTCCTGCCTGTATGGTAAATATTAAGCTACAACCAGCAGACAGTTATCTTAGTTTAGCACAAAAACTGGAAACGGGGTAACAGCTTTCCTGGCTCTGTCGAAAAGTACAATATTCACCTACCAGCACCTCTAAAGCTAACAAAGTAGCATGGTACATATTGTTTGTTTAATCCATACATAAAAATGAAAACATGTTCAGACCAAAGATTTGCGAGGAGACAAGTTGAAACTTGCAACATGGCTATGCACTGATCTGCAATGCCTAGACAGAGGGCTGTTAGCACTGGATGCCAAAGCAAGCTAACATGCTGTCTGCTGAGAGTTTGTAACTGACTTGACCAGCTGACTTGGCCATACTGTTAAAAATAATGGAGGTAGCTACCGTGACATCACTGATTTGTGGACTCTCGTTTTGGCATTTTAGCCATCACCATTTTGTTTTTTTGTAGCCAGAAGTGAGAAGCTGAGGACACTATTGGCAGACAGCCCGTCGTTTAAAGCAGGCTGCCCTTCGTTTTGCACAAGTTTAAGCCTTAATAACATTTAAATGGTTGTGTTATATAAAATATACCCTCACAGTCATCATGAAGGGGGAAATTAGCTGTAGAGACCACAACCGTTTTTTGTACCAGGCTGTAAGCATGTTTATATCTGCTGTAAAGCTGGGCATTTTAACATGGGGGTCTATGGGGATTGACTGACATCTGGAGTCACCCTCAAGTGGCTGTTTGAGGAATAGCAGTTATTAGCACTTCCAAGTCGGTTTCATTTTCCTGCCCCGGAGGTTGCTGCTTGGACTTTGCTCCAACCTGGTTGGCTGCTGACGGTGGCACAGGTGACGACTCTTGTGTTCTAAAACCAGCTGCTAGCGACCTGACAAGCTGAGTCACAGGTGACACCATCAGCCTGATTGAGTCGAGCTTAGATGAGCCAGTTCATAGTGATGCAACTTTCTAAAACAATTTTGTCTTGTTGCAAATCTTTTGTCTGAATAAGGCTTTACAACAGCAGGTTGCAGTGTATGGCCCTTTATGTGGTGGACTATTTCTTGACTATTTACAGATATGAGAGTGGTATCAGTCTTCCCATTTAGGCGTCAGCAAGGAAGCAAACAAGGGTATTTCCCAAAATGTCAAACTCTTCCGTTATAGATGTGTTTACAGCTTTAAAAAATGCATTATGCTCTTTTCTAGAGAGTGACCTTGATGTCGAAGCAGTGAGCTTCATCTCCACATCAGATTCCTCCACTTCTGGTTTCACCACTCACCCATCACCGTCTGCTTTGACTAGCAGTGCTCCTGCTGAGCCTCAGACTGCACTCCCCGATCCAACCATCTCATCTGGGTCACGTCATTCTGACAAACTGGACTTGGAAATCCTCTCCACAGCATCACAGTTGTGGGAGTCCTCCATTTCTAGACAGGAAGGAAGTACAAGCTTAGAAACTGAAGAAACTGTCACTCTGGAAAGTGAAGAAAAACAGCTGCACCCGACAAAGTTTGATGACAACCTCGTCTCTGGAGTAAGTCTAGCTACCACAGAGTCTCCAGAAGAGTCAAACACCTCTCAGTTGCCTACTGATTCCTCCACAGCACGGTATCAAACATCCGATTACCAAGTGTATTTGGATACTATGACCACTGACTATGAAGAGGCAAGTGGACATGAACTTGCTACAGTTTGTGTTAAAGTTGCTCCAACTATTGAAGAGGAAGTTACAGTTACCCCAACCCTTGAAGAAGGAACTGAAGTTTCCCCAACTCTTGAAGAAAGAACACAAGTTTCTTTCTCATTGGAAGAAGCTAACACTGCCCCAACCCTTGACCAAGATGCTAGCATTGCCCCAACCCTTGACAAAGAAGCTAGCATTGCCCCAACCCTTGAAGAAGAAGCTAGCGCTGCCCCACCCCTTGAAGAAGAAGCTAGCGCTGCCCCGACCCTTGAGGAAGAAGCAAGCATTGCCCCAACTCTTGAAGAAGAAGCAAGCATTGCCCCAACTCTTGCCCTTGAAGAAGAAGCTAACATTGCCCCAGTTCTTGAAAAAGAAGTTAATGTCATCCCAACTCTTGAAGAAGAAGCTAGCCTTTCCCCAACATTTGACGAAGAAGCTAGCATTGCCCCAACCCTTGACCAAGATGCTAGCATTGCCCCAACCCTTGACAAAGAAGCTAGCATTGCCCCAACCCTTGACGAAGGAGCTAGCATTGCCCCAACCCTTGCCCTTGAGGAGGAAGCTAACGTTGCCCCAGTTCTTGAAAAAGAAGTTGATGTTGTCCCAACACTTGAAGAGGAAGCTAGCATTGCCCCAACCATTGAAGAAGAAGCTAGTGTTGGCCCAGCTATTGAAGAAGAAGAAGCTAATATTGTCCCAACCTTTGAGGAGGACTCTACTGTCTTTCCTCTTGATTTACAAACATCAAACTGGGTTCCACTGACCACCACAATTGGACCCCAAGAGTCTCTGAATGATCTAGAGTACAGCAGAAAAACCTCATCCATCACCTCCACAGCAGCTCCAGGTTCCCCCTCAAGTACAAAACCCACTGCTGCAACTGCAAAGACGACGACTACCACCATCACGGCCACCACACATTGGTCCAAGCGCACCTGGAGCCCAGTAACCTCAGCACCGAATGTTTTCCACAAGACCGCTGAGCCCAAGAAGGTGACAGCCTTCATACCACCAGTGGATCAAGGTCTGGTGGATGTTGAGTTTAGTCTCACCCAGCCGCCCACCCTGCTTATCTTGCCCAATGAGAGGGCAGCTGTAGGCGGTACAGGGAAAGTTTCAGGTAATGTTAAAGCCACTCTCATCAGCCTAACCGCCCTCCTCTTGCTACTCGACGCAATGATGCACTAAAACCCCCGATCTGTCCTCAACCTGCCTCTGCTCCATTTTCTGTAAAACACCTCCACTTCCTTTTTCAAATGACTTCCCACATTTGTTTCACTTGTTGTCTCAGAAAGCCCACTCACCCTTCTGACTCCTCCCGCTTCACCTTAAAACACTCCTCACTTCTGTCCTTGTGACCTCCACCCCCCCTTCGAGATACTCACATTGGGACAGCTCCCATTTGACATTTGTCAACAGTCCACTCTTGTTGTGCATGATGTTTTCTTCCTTATCCAAAGATTGACTTCTGTGAAGTACTGTATTATAGTGGTATGATTATGAATGAATGTTTCAGTGCGTCTTCTACAATGATTTTCCGCAAGAGTGATGGTTGATAGCGTTGGTTAACCTTTTATCGGTGTCTGGATCAGTGGATTTTATTTTGCAAATAATACATCTCTGCACCAAACAAGGGCAATTTATCCTCTTCAGTATCACTTTCTTCTTGCTAAATCTTTTGCAGTTTTCTGGAAGTAACTTGATAAAGGGACTTAATCTTCCTCTGGAATGTAACAGCAATCAGTGCAACAGCAATAATGTTTTATATTTAATCCATAAGTTCACATCAAGTGTTAAAACAGTCATCTTTCCCAAGATGTTTGGACTTTTATTGCTATTTTTCGACAGCCTAGTACCAGAAGCACAGAGTGTTATGATGTTTAGAAACACAGATATTGTTCGCTGTTGATTTGTTGTGAGTGGTAGCATTCAGCAATATGTTTTTAAATCTCCTTTATGGGTCATTAATGCTTCATACTCAACTTATGTTCAATTGTTCAATCATGATCTTCCAAGATTTGTACAGTTTTGTGTTTTTAGGTGTACAAATGATAAAACCAACTAATATATGTTTGTTTCTTGTCTCACCATCAGTTGATAAATCTGTTATTTTGGTTTTCTTCAGTCTCAAATGTTTTAGTTTACTGTACATATTGTTGCCTTCAGTTCCTACTGCTAAAAATGGCAGCTGCAGAGAGTAGTGCATTGTATGGAAGCCAATGTCGGCCAAGAACACTTTTAAAAAAACATGAAAAGTTAGGCATGATGACTGAATGATTCAAGATTTTGACTCACTTTCTCACTACTCACTTTTAATTTGCAAAAATTGTTAATTTTTTTTAGTTTTCCCCTGCAGAAATTGGCTTCCATTGAACTGGCCTAAATTAAGAGAAATGTCATTGACCATAGAGGGCAGCTGCAAGTCTAACATTGTGAAACGAGACAAGGCAATTGTTTTTAAACGGCACTGAGGCAAAGTTTATGTGCTTTACATTAAAGTGAATACAGCAACAGAACATAACTTAAAACTATGTACACACAGACTAGTAGCTCTGCATGCAGCTCCATCCATTTTTACAGATGCTTTCAAATTATCTCAAGTTTAGATTCATTTTGCTATTTCTTCACATTTAATCTCAGCTTCAGCGTCTCCATGAAACCTTAATTTGTTGAGCAGTAATGATTATATATCAGTCAATTCCTGCGGATAAAAGACTGGAGACTCAGCAGCTGAAGAGAGTGGGAAAGCCACCACTCATTGAGTAACTAATCTCACATTATCACCCACAGGCAATTTATTGTTGTGTGCTGTTTGAAGGAAAACTACACAAGCTCATGGATATCATGCAGACTTTTTGCAGAAAGGGTTGAGAAATGAACCAAGGTGCTTGTTACTTTACAAACTTTTAAAAAAAGTACAGATGTCAACATGGGTCACAGCATAAGGTTTAGTTTTTATACATAACCCCAGTTGTGTACTTTTCAGCAAAACTGAATGATGGTTTTTCTTTGAGTGCATATGATTCTCATTTAACGTGTGTAAAACAGTTATTACCCTCCACACATTTATAAACACACACTGACCCAAAGAGAAGTATGTGAGTGCGCAGTATAATGACAGACACCACAGAGCTCTTGTTTACAGGGTGTCAAAGGAAGCAAATAAAACAAATCTAATTGTAAAATGTTTAATTTCAGTTCGGACACACATGCCTTCCATTTTGCCTTCTTTTACAAATTTAGAAAATTAAACTCAAACTCCAACCCCTCCTTTTCCTTCAGGACAGCTGCGCTTTTCTTAACAACTATCTTTTGACGGGGACACTTTGCCTGAAGCCAAGAGAAATTGCTCTTGTACAGTGTAATCATTCATACAGGAGTTTGACAACATAAAGTTACAATAACAAGAGCCAGTTTTCCAAATATGTCAACACAAAAACCTTAGTTTATCATAAAAATGCAGTTTTATGGGAAATTGCATGATGTTGCTAACAGACAGATTTCTTATATTCCTCCCTAAAATACTTTGTGAACTCCTCCAAATAATCTGCAATCTGCAGTTAAGGTTTTTTTTCCTCCATAAAGTTTAGAGATTGTGAAGTAATGATGCTGGAAGAAGAGATGCAGGTGTGAAACAAATGTTTATAGGTTATTTGAGTGATAGAGACGTCTGTGTGAATTACAGGTTGAGACACTGAGTAGAAATAGATGATACATCAAGGATTTTTGACAGGAAACACTAAACACCAACATCTTTATCAGTATTATGTATTTACCAGTGTTGTAGTCAAGGCTGCCTAAACTTAGATCAACCCATGACCAAGACCAGAGTGTATCAAGACTGAGACAAGACTTTGAGAGGTTGAGACCAAATCAAGACCAGACCAGTGCGAATCCCACACTGCATGACACACTTAGGATAAAATGTGGAACATGCAAACCCTAGGCACTCCTCAGAATTATCTGAAAGATCCACATTCCCATAAAGACACCCACAGGTTTATCTGCATGCATCTCTTTGCACATATACTGTATATATGTGTTTATGTATACTCGTACCATAAGAAAGGTCTTTATAAAATAATCAGAATCAATTGCAGAAGTATATTATAGCTTTCCTTTGTTTTCTATGAGCAAACAAATGTCAACAAACACTAATGAACTGAAATCAACTTAACCATCTTTATTCAACACTTCTTTTTTGCACAGGCAATTTAGCGATATCCCCACAGTTGTGGTTGCAACTGGTCTTAAAATGAAATCTGGAGACCTCTTTGTCTGAGACTGTGACAAGGCCGAGACAAGGCCAATGTGGTTGAGTCCGAGACAACCAAGACCTTCAAATAGTGGTCTTTAGACCGGTCTGAAGACCAAGACCAATCATTGGTACTACAACACTGGTACTTTGAGTAGGCTATATCTTACATAGTGTGTTTGACATACTGTAAGGTCTAATGACCAAAACAGATGGTATGCTCTGGTAGAGGGTAGCTATCAAAACAGATCACAACAAGGTCTGCTGAATATCATGTGTCTTTGCGTTTGGAATTTGAGTTTTCTGACTAACATAATACCATCCATCGTAGTGTACCAGGGTGAATGTAGCTCCAAACTTCTGCAAATCAAATGGAAATTGTGAACAGAGAAAAGAGCCTGGTTATAATGGAAAATGTATTATAGTTTTGGGTGACATGTCCCTTTATCATGACCCAGTCACACAGTGTAATTGCATTTGGCATCCTTAAGGTTTATTAATAATGAAAAGTGTAAGAAGAAGAAGAAGAAGACAAAGAAGAAGACAGAAAACGGAAGGTCTCAGATGCACCAACGACGACAGTTTGACCTCATATGACTCTATGAAGTTTGCCCTCTGCTGCCATCTGTTGGCTGAGGTGGCAGCAGGATGCTGGTGCTTCAACATGTCCTGTTACTAATGGCCTCAAGACTTTAATCTTTATTTCTAAAATCCTTCGATTCGGATCCATTTTTATCCTTGTATTTATACTTCAAATACAATAGTAGATAACAGAATACTTGAGTAGTAAGACATGCAGATCGTGGGCTGTGGTCTTGTGTAGTTTCAGCAGCAGAATGACCTGGAGTGACTCTTTGTTTTGTTTCAGATGCCTGTATGGACGACCCCTGTCTCAATGGAGGCACCTGCACTGACCGAGATGGGCAGATCCAGTGTCTCTGCTTGCCAACATACGGAGGGGACTTCTGTCAGACCGGTGAGCTCTCTTCTTTGTTGCAGTCAGAATTGCTTTCTGTTCTGTTTGTCAAACAAGTTGGGAAGCTGGAAGCTGCTTCAGAGTAAATAAGGGGAATCTCTGCCTAGTGAACCTGCTAAAGATTTTAAAAACTGGCTGTCCTGTCTCCTCCTCTGTCATATTTTCAGACCTGGAGCGATGTGAACCAGGTTGGGATAAATTCCAAGGTTTCTGCTACCGACACTTCAGCCAGCGTCTGAGCTGGGAGGTCGCAGAGCAGCACTGTCGCATGATGGGAGCTCATCTGGTGTCCATCTTAACCCCTGAGGAGCAGAATTACATCAACAGTAGGTTCAATAAGATGGTTTGTCCTATATGAGTTATTAATTTATTTATTGTGTCTTGAGAGCTGAATATAATTCATTTACTGTCATCACCAGACAACTACAAAGAATACCAGTGGACTGGTTTGAATGATAAGACCATTGAGGATGATTTCCGCTGGTCTGATGGCAACCCACTGGTGAGGGATACTAGAAAGGAGTGTGACTGAACTCATACGACAAATCCACACTGTTTTTATGTGTGAGCACAAAACATTATACCGTGTATCACAGGAGAGGAACACAGTTGGAACAGTGGACAGAACAATATTATAATGTGGACACAGTTTACTTCTGATTAGTATGCAAATTGTTAAAAACAAATTCACCCATGTCTCTTCTCATGCAGCTGTATGAGAACTGGTACAGAGGGCAGCCAGACAGCTACTTCCTGTCTGGTGAAGACTGTGTGGTGATGGTTTGGCACGATGACGGACGCTGGAGTGACGTGCCCTGCAACTATCACCTTGCATACACCTGCAAGAAAGGCACCTGTGAGTAATAGAGACATTTAGAGCTCCTCATTAATGGTTTCAGCTCCCTCATGTGGTTGTTTTGGGCTGTTACACCATGAAACATCAGCCCCCAATGAGGACCTAACTTGTCCTAATTCTTCCAACAGCCTCATGTGGTCCACCACCCAAGGTTAGAAACGCCTCAATCTTCGGAAAAGGTCGACAGAGATACGCAACCAACGCAGTTGTGCGTTATCACTGCGCAGAGGGTTTCCAACAGAGACTAAATCCTCTGATCAGGTGTCTGTCTGGAGGCAGGTGGGAGAGGCCCCAGGTCGTGTGCATCCCTGGTAAGATAAGAGATTATCACAGTCACAGTATTAACATGATGATTTTTGAGGACCAAATTGTCTAGGGACATTGTATAGTATTTGATCTAAGATACCCAGGTAGTTTGCCAAGATGTGCTTGGTAAATAAATAGAATTCAGTGCTGTTCTCTTCTTGCTGCCGAAATTCACTGAAAAATTGCACACCCCACCTACAGACTGGACCAACATACATTTTAGTAGTTAATACTTATATATGATTATCATATTTTATATATCATATTGCATTCTTGTAAATGCAATATCTCAAGAACTCCTCGATGGAGGTCAAGGTCACTGTGACCTCGTTTGTCACATTCTCCTTAATGCAATATCTCAAGTACATTTGAGGAAATTTCTTTCATCCTCTTGCACTCAGGGATGAACTGATCTGATTTTGGTGATCAAAAGTCAATGGTCAAGGGTACTGTGACCTTGTATCCGTCTCATTGTCGTGAAGGTGATATCTGAAGAACGCCTTGAGTGAATTTCCTCAAATTTGGCACAAATGTCCACTTGGACTCAATGATGAACTGATAAGAATTTGGTAGTTGAAGGTCAAGGTCACTGTGACTCACAATACATGTTTTTGGCCAAAACTCAAGAATGTATATGCTAGATATGACAAAATTTCACAGAAATGTGTTAATAGGATAAAATGATGAAGTGATGACATTTTATATCTAAAAGGTCAAAGGTCAACTTCACTGTGATGTCATAATGTTTGCATAAAACACTCAGGAACAGAAGGAGGAACATTTGATCAGATATTGAAGTGGTGACACTAATCTTGGGTGTCCATCTTGAAACTGTGCTGATTGTAAAGATCCCCTGTGCTGTCGGGGGGGAGATGTGTGTGAAGCATCCATATTTTCATAGACATGGTCTTGACTGGTGTATGGAGACATACAACACTTTGATCTTTTCTATGTTGACAAAAACAAACATACAGAGAATTACGGCAGTCTTATCCTTTAATACACTCTTGCACATTGCTTTTGACTTACCTTTCAGAGGCCGGAGGTCCAACCCAACAGCCTGAAGTGACATCACAGATCAGCGGCAACTCTGCAGCTGTTGAAGACGAGTTTGAAGCCACTAAAAAGACACTGCAGTACTGGGACATTAGGTTTTAAAAGTCGACCACGCTTTCCTTGTCTTCCTTTCTTAAATTCTGCTGTTGGAACACGACAAGGTGCCAAGAATCAAATGCTTTTTACCAATGAATGCACAAACAGGACAAAATGAACCACAGACGCATAAAGACACAAAGTGAAGTTTTCTCTTAGTCGAGAAGCCCAAGTGCACAGACAGGTTCTGTTTTCTTTAAATGGAGTTAAACATTACTACTTTTTGATGTCCTTTAGAGTATTTTCTACTGTGTTTTGATTTAATATAGTGACCAGCAGAACTAAAAAGAGTTTAAAGTACAAAGAAAGAAAGAGGAAGTACAGTAAATGTGTCAATTCCAAATTACTGTCAGCTCCAAATCTACATTACAATCAGAACTGCTTTCCTTGTGGTTTTTGTCATATCAGGAACCTCTTTATAAAATGGTGCTAATGTCTTTTAAACCTTTGCCTCCAACAGAGATTTTTGTTTCCCTCTCAGCTTTCTCAAAGAATCTAACGACTCCAAAGCACAAACTCAATCTTAACAAATAGTCAATAAGTACTGTACATATATTCATTTTCACACCTGTGATTACTGCTGTCCGCATTCTTCTGAAAGATATCTTTTATTTCCAGCAGACGCAGTTTTGTTCGTCAGCTTTATGTTGTAATAAAGTCTTGTAGAACAGAGCAAAGAATAAATCGTTCTCTTATTTTACCCTTAGCACTGTGTGTGAGCTTCATTTCATTTTTAAGTGGACACAAAGGGCTAAAAGCTAAATCCAGTTCTCACAGACTGACACACAGCAGAAACCACCTTTGGATTTGGATTTTCTTTCACATGTGGACAGAAAAGTTTACAGTATTTGCTCTATGTCATAAAAGGAAAACTATTGATAATACTGATTTGGATAATGTGGCATTTCAAGAGTACTTAGTACAAATTTGAGGTACTTGTGTGTTACTGAAGTATTTCTGTTTCATGCACTTCTACTCCACTACATCTCAGAGTTTAAATGTCATAGCCTACATTTTACTGCACCACATTTATCTGATAGCATCTGATCAGTTTATAACATATGCATTGTTTTAGATGAAACTACTGGACACTATATAGTTTATACAGTATACCTTGACAAAATTCAGATGCTGCCAAAACATATGTTACAAATGTAATTAATGGGGCCATTTTGCACAGTGAGTAATTTTCCTTTTAATTCTTTAACTGCGGTATACTACTGATTTTTACTAATGTTCGAGTAAACTTTTGAGATCTTTTAAGTTTTGATCTGAGTAGGTGTCTTTTTGCACCACTGCTTGTTGGTCAATATTTCATTAATGCCCTCCAGCTCATGATAAGGTATGTGTCAGGACCACGGGCCGCACGATACAAGATTATCACAATGTTTAAGTCACAATACAATATTATTGCAGTTTTAAATGTCATGCCATATGCTGACTATTGCAATAAAATATATTGCAGTTAATTTCCTTTTATAAACTGCAAATTATGCCCCCAAAGAAAAACTTTGTCAGCAACAAAGATAAAAGTTTTCAGTCTGCTCATCTCACTTAAGTCATTTGTAGCCTACTGCAGCAACATGTATTTAGTGGACAGAACTGATTTTATTGTTCTAGTAAGCTACCAAAAGTTTGGTTTGTATATGCAGTATTAATCATTTAGATAATAACAAATCGATACCTGGCGTCCATGAGTGGATAGAATATTGCCACGTCAAGTATCGTGATACTATGCTGTATCCATTTTGTCCACCACCTCTAGTATTTGTATAAATGACTTTAATGAAAAGTCCTGTTGTATAATGGAACAATAGCCTACAGCTCATCCTTAAAAAGCCAATAAACAAAAATACAGACTACCAGCTTCTTCTTAGCTTCTTCTTTCGGCTGTTCCCTTTAGGGATCATCTGCCTCCATCTAACCCTATCCTCTGCATCCCCTTCTCTCACACCAACTGACTTCATGTCCTCTTTCACTACATCCATAAATCTCCTCTTTGGTCTTCCTCTAGGCCTCTTGCCTGGCAGTTCCCACCTCAGCATCCTTTTACTGATATATTCACTGTCTCATCTCAGCATTTTCATCTCTGCTACCTCAGTGCCACTGTCTCTAAACCTTCCTTCCAAAGAGAGAAGGATAAATATCAGTAAGCTATGTTAACAAATATCTGCACTACAAATGAGTTAAAGTAAATAAAAGATACTCTATAATCTGCACTGGTCAGGACAGGAAGGCCCTCCAGCATGCATGCAGATAAAATCTGCACAACTCATCTCAAGAAAAGCCTTCCCATCTATTTAGGACATTTACAACACCAGGGTCATCAGGAGGGCCCACAGCATCATCAAGGACAGAACACACCCCAACCACAGACTCCTCACACTTACACCATCAGGCAGACGCTACAGGAGAGTGAAATCCAGGACAAGACTGAGAAACAGCTTCTAGATTGTTTTTTAAGTTGTCTTTATATTCTTCATTGTATGTCCGTTCAGGACTAGAGGTATATTCGTGTGCTTCTAATGGGGATCCTTAAATAAACTAAACTACCCAACATCAGACAGCTGAATAACAGCATCCAACACGGCCCCCCTCGCATCCCATCACTCTCACTGAGTGCTGCAACGGATTTGTTTGCAATAATTCTTTGTTTCTGCTTAGTTTTCATGTTTCAATTTTATCATTGTTTTACATGGAGAGAGACTAGCAACAAAAAAATAAATGAAAATTATTTGTATGGTGTGTATTTACTGTGCAAATAACTATAAACTTCTTGAATCTTGAATTGTGACACTAATGTAAAAAGTAACAATGTAAGCTTAATTTAATAGACATTTTGTGACTGCATTATGGCTCCAACAATCAAAAGACAATTGAGGTCAGGTGACCAACGTGATTGGGCGCACGTGCGTCTACACCTGCCAATAAGCAGCAGAAATGATGCGTCACGGTTTCGTCACTCGGGCCAGAAAATTGAGGAAAATTGAGGGAAATACGATAGACACACAACATGTAAGTATAGTGTTTGTAAGTGTGTGTTTGTAGGAGGTAAAGTTATTAAGTTTACAGGAAGTCGTTGGTGATAAAGAGGAGAACGGGGTTTAAATCTGAACCCATGTATTTCTGTCAACGTGCACGAGGCCTACATGGCTACAGGTGAGCTAGCTTCCCCAACATGGTGCCTAGAGGCTAAAAAAACTTAAGGCTGCTGTTATCTCACCTCGATTCATTTATTTTATCACACAAATAAGATGTTTAACACGCAAAAAAGAATATTTAACACAAGTCTCGTTGTCACTGCATGTAATTAACAGGTTACAGGTTATTTTGTTCCTAAATCTGTTTCTGCATGCAGCCAGTTATTCTACCACCAGATGGCATCATTGAGCCATGAGTCTTTTCAACTGTAGGAGACTGATGGCAGCATGACAGGGAGCAGTGACGTGTTTGATATCACAGCTGAGCCCATACAAAATATTTTGATCAACGCCATGTTTACAGTAGACAGGCTGAAACAAACAAAGCTGCTCAGTTAGGACGATGCACCATGGCGAGCCCTTATCAGTAAGATTTTAAGGAGGACTCTAAGTCTTACTACTGGCTGCATGTATCAAATAAACAGTCACATTATAGTGGCCAACACTTTGCTCTACACACTTATCTCCACCTACTTACTTTACAGTTGAATCTGCTGTTATTCTCTATCCTTTTTAAAACTAAATTAAAATGTGTCTTTAATCTGTGGAAAATTGAAGAAAAGTGAAGAAATCCTGAGGTTACACCTACAACCTCCTCTGTGTAATAGCTCAGACAGTTGTGCATTTTAATGTGCAGCATAAGACCTATTTGAATCATTGCAGGCAAGCGGCTAAAGAAGTCACAGTATGCTATTATTTTGTCATCAGCCATTTTTAATTCCTTTAATCACTAACTATTATGACATGAATGCATTTGATTGATTACAAAATTAAAACATTTCCACTGTCAACTTGTTGGGATAAAACTATTAGGCAGTGAATTTACTCAAGTAGACATAGTAATACCACAGTTTAAAAAATGCTCTTATGCATCCTAAATCAGACTCAGGTAAAAGTATAAAAGTATCAGCATTGAAATATACTTTAAGTACCAAAAGTAAAAGTACTCACTTGAGTGTAATACACAGTATATCACATTACTGGATGATAACTAGTGATGCATTAATTTGCTCATCACTTCAATGTAGCAGCTGGTAAAAGCTCATTTTATTTACTGTTTCTACTGCTTGGTAGTTTAATCTATGATGGCTTAAAAAATAATTTATTAGTTGATTATTTTTCATATTAATAATCTAAATCTGCAAAGACTACAACTAAAGCTTAAGTTAAATATGTAGTTTTTTAACTTGGATGTAGATGAGTACCTCAAATCCTGTACTGAAGTATAATATTTAAGTAAATGTGTGCAGTGACTATTCACCACTGCTATTAAGAAAGTGAAACTAAATGGGTAACAAACTATGTATTTCATTGTAGTTCCTTACAATGTGCAGCCAGTGTAAGCCAATGTGTGCAATGATTAATCAATTCATCTTAGTTTAACAGCTGAAAAAAACAATACATTTTTATAAGCGATAAGTCTTTTAAAATTGGTTATTTATTAAGCAAGAATACCAAAAATCTATTACATTTAGGTGATTGTAAATTGAATATTTTTATGTAAAGTGTAAGACTAAACCAGTGGTGTGAAGACTTCCCTTTGGGCTCTGGACCCAGCATTATCAACCTTAAAAAGTCTGTTTAGTGCAGTGGTGGAAAAAAGTCCTTCATTTGTAATACAGCAGTGTAGAAATACTCCGTCAGTGGGGTTTCATTTACACAAAAGACAAAGTTCACTGTGCGCACAGTTACTCTCAGGAACATAACCATTAACTTTACAGAGACTGGTAGTTTTAATGTCACCCCAGAGGAGGACAGGCTTTGTTGTGACATCGGTGAAATTATGAGGTTCAGTCTTTGTTTTACTGTCCTGCATGTGATGACATACGGGATGTACTTTTTAGTGAAATGACCTCTGTTTATGTTGATCCATTTTGGTTGGATGATCATGAAAAATTCAAGTGATGTTTTAGAGGGGAACTTTTTTGTGTCAGACTTTGTTTGCAGCAGTTGAAGCAGAATGCAGAGCGTTTTGTTTGGGGACTGAGCAGTAAGATTTTTGGATCGGTCACTGCAGTGATATTGTAACGGTGTCTTATAAACCCATGAGGGCTGGGCACATGTTTTTGTGCATGACACAAAATAAAGAAATCAATCAATATTTTGGTAAAAGTGAAAAAGTATTAGCATCAAAATATGATTAAAAGTGCTCATTGTGCAGGAGGCCCATATCAGAATGATGTATATTATATTTTTGGATTATAATAAGTGATGCTTTAATGTTTATGTTACTTTAATGCTGCAACTGGTAATGGTGGACTTGATTTTAATTACTTTGTAAACTGTTGGGCAGCTTGTGAATGTGCTGTAATAAAACAGATTAATGTTTATTCTCATTAATAATACATAATATAATCAACAAATTAACTAGTGACTAAAGTTATCAAATAAATGTAGTGGAGAAGGAACATGAAGTAGCAACAAAAGGGAATACTCATGTAGAAGAACAACAAAATTGTACTTGGTTACTTTCCACCACTCT